AATAATTAATTTAATTGCTAATTCTGACTTATGTAAAATATATTATCATTTAGGAAATCAGAGAAAGTGTGATAGGGGTTAATAAAGAAGACAAAATATTCCCACGTATAAATCTGCTTTTTGTTATACAACACGTTGAGCTTTATAAGTATACATGTATTCTTCGGATTATTTTGATAAGTTTATTCCATGTTTCCTCTACACGTTTTTCACTCGCAGCTGCTATAGTATCCCACTTTTTTGATGCTTTGAGTATAAAACGCACTGAGTAACAGGAGCACCCAATATATCACTTGAAAGAATGACAAGATATTTTAAACAAAAAAATTGAAAAATCGTAAATAACAAAACCAACATATGATTATCATTAAATTAAAATAAAATAATTTATTATAAATAGCAAGTTTTATGTTTTCACGTAACTATAAGTCGTTCAATTTATAATTCTCTTTTGATCTATTTTGTTATTATCTTTTTTTTTTACGGAATGCATCTTTGAATATTTAGATCAAAATAATTCAATTTGACTCATCTTCGGTAACAAAAAAATGGATCCTCCTAAATGCGCGCAAGATCAAATTTATTCTAAAGAATTACTTTCCAAAAAAATTTGAATAATGGCATGACAATTTATACGGATGATTAAACATTAATAATTGCTAAAAATAATAATACTATGTACTCGAACAGTTTGTACATTTAAACAGTCTCTACGATGAAACACGTATCGACCTACCTATCTAGTGCCTAGTATTAGCGAAACCATATAGGAATCGTTTACCCATTATATTACGTCTAACAAAACGGTATTATCATATGGTATATCCAGTCTTGTTGGCGCTCGACAATGAGCTGCGCTATTTAATGTTCCATTCTCTTTTGTCATTCATAGAAGAGTTAGTATAATCTTCCATGTACGATCGAAAAACACGAACTTGTTATTCTAAGCTACAGTCTGGACAACATCAGATTGGAAGGTATGTTAGTCTACGGCAGAGAGAGCACTAATCGAAGAAGAGTGCAACGAGATAGAATCATGGACGTTTCGTAATTGCTATGAACAAAAACCTAAGTTATTGAAAGTTATTTCAAGTATCTTTTGTTCCCATATTGAAGAGAAATTTCATTTAGAAATTTGAGATAACTCTGGCATGATCTGGCAAATGTTCGTTTGAATCTTCGATTTTGTTTTGTTTTTTTTTTTTTCTTTAACAAAATGCGTCCAACGTTTCAACTTCTGTCTCGACAAGCACTCTTTCGCAAAAACACTCGTCTTTCAAAAGCAGAACACATAGGAAGATTCTATACATCAGTTTCCGTCAATTAATGGTCCGATAGTTAGATCGATATGACTTTTAAAATCTATTTAAAGTCCTACCCGCTTATAAGTCTTCTTTGCTATATCTTCAATGCGGAGCCTGTGATTGATCTCCGTTATGAATACGTATATTATTACCGTGTAATTGTCTCAGTTTCCCTCCCTCCGATTTGGTTTGTGATCAGTGACGTAATCGAGATACGCGAAGCGAATGGTCTTTAAAGTGTAGCCTAAACTGTACTCTAGTAACATTGTAGGGCAATTAAAATGTACTTCTTGTATCCTAGATATGTAATATGCGCATAACTACCTAACAGTTATCACATCAAGCTCCCTCCCCCAAATACCGTAAAAAAATTTTTTTATTTCCGATAGAAAGCTACATATTCGTCGCGTCACTGATGACGGCGTCATGCTGACCCCCTAGATTCGGAGCTAGGATGTTCTAAGTCACATCGAGAAGCGTCAGGAATTAGAATCTACATTTACGCGCGATGAACATTCGCGCGAAGGTATCCTTGACAAAAAAAAAAAAAAAGAAAAAGGAAGAAAAAGAACTCAGGCAAAGAACTTTTTACTTTCATCACGCCTGCTTGGTTGGCGCATTGAAATAAGGCACCACATTCGACGCTGTTTACGCAATCGATCGTAGAAATGATCACCAATTCTAGAGATGTCAATCAAGTCGGTCATCGGGAATTTCCTAGCTGTAAGTATTTAATCTACGATCATCATCTATCAGTTTGTTTGAATGTGAGTCGGTCGATTGGATTAACGTTTCACTAATCCAGTCTGATCCCTCCGGAGGTCGTTGAACGACTTATAATCCCGACTCTTTGTTTGTACAACGTCGAGCGTAGTTATTAGTCGTCGTAACGATTGACAAAACGCGCTTTCCTCGAGCCTTTGGAAGCCTCGATCGTTAATAGTTTCAAAGTACATATATCAATTCTTATTGCTGTGCCTGCATCTCCAACGTAACACGTTTCTTCATTCGTATTGACTCTTGAATATCTTCGTTCATTGGTGATCGTGTTTTCCGCAAGAGCTAACGGTGAAATCTCACCGGTATAGAACTCTTTGCGGGAGAGATCTTTGTATAAACTTTGAAAATTGCTAAAACAAGGGGAAATAGAGGAACTGAACGCGCTTTTGGCGCAGAGTACGTTTTTGATCCTCGTTGAACAATTCGAGCAGATGGCAGAGTCGATTTGCTTCCTGATGAGATTCCGCAACCCTAAATTATTCCGCGGGTTTAACGATTAGTCAAACAGTCTCCTCCGTCACACTTCTCGACATGTGCAATATTCCGAAGCTGAGAAAGGAGAGAAAGGAGAAGTATTAAAGGACGTTTTCGCTGTTTCAACTTGAAGACTTGACGCAGAATAAATGCACAAGAGCTACTTGCTCGATATATCGTTCTTACGATGAGATACGATGGGTGAAATGCGTGTGAATGCTTAGCTGGCTTTAACGATCTCCATTTTCCCCGTCAAGTCTCCGTTTGTTAATCGGCAAGATAAATCAGCAAAGCAATGACATTAATGAAACGGCATGATCTTATAATGATCGTACAAAGTGATAGCCTAGCCCTACCAACAAGCGTGTTTACTTGGCGATCCCCGCGGTTATCCGCGCGTCGTCTTGCATCTCGACGACAACGGTATCTGGATCAGGTACCCTGTTGGCGGTAAGACATCCATTGGCGATAGTGGTTGGTAGTACAGTCTCCGACTGAAATTAAATTATCGCGCATACTGTTACCGTGCATTTGGCACGAAGAAGATAGCACTAGCAAGTGTGGCAACGAACGAAACAAATTAATGAATGAATGAATGTTAAAAAAAAAAAAAACTTTGTTAATTACAAAATGATTAATTTATGTGTTTTACTTGATAGGCTGCTGCATCCAGTGCCATTAGTTCTTTTTTCGAGAGTTGCTCGACAACTGCAGCGGCGTAACAGTCTCCTAGCATATTATTGGTAGTCCTTATCCGATCCCTGGTCGATATAAGATATAATATTTTAAAAAGAGAAATAATATAACAAATATAACAAAAATTTATCATTTCAAATTTTTATGTTTCTGTTATATTTATATTTTCTTTATCTAACTGTGTATATTGGTTGTATATTGATACTTACACGAACCAGTCGATCGCGAATAAAAGAGACACGTCATTAACAGGAGCATCAATGGCGCTTAGGACGACCAGCAATAGGACGAGTGCAGCGCTTGGTACCGAGGCCGACGAGACGGAAGCAGCAGTGGACGTCAGACTTTGCGAAAAACGAGATAATAAGAAAAAAAAGTAGAGAGTAAAAGTAAATGCGGGCAAATGTGTGATTAGATAAAATTCTTTTTTATATTACTTATAACAGCTGGAAGACAAAGGCGACTTACATAACGGTGATGATCTCCCCGAAGCCTAGGAAGATACCATTCATCTGAGCGATGAATATGCTGGCGACGGCGACGAAGAGCGCGGTACCATCCATGTTGATATTGCAACCGATCGGCAGAACGAACCTGGTGACTCTAGGGTCGACTCTGAGCTTCTCGGTCATCAGACGAAAAGTCACAGGAAGTGCGGCAGCCCTGTACAAAGCTGCGTTAGCAAAAATCGGGCAAATCACGCTTCCGGTGATGAGCAGAAAGATTCGCTCCAGAGTCGCCTGTTGGCCGCAGCGGTCGTGTGGTCATTCTGGCGTAAACTTACGGGACAGATATATAGCGGCGGCATTTATTTATCGATAGTTTTGTCAGAAGAGACGTAACCCGACCAAGGCTTGAGTTGAACAGAACGGATATAATGGGAGGCAGAGACGCACGGTATAGACGAACGGAGGAAGGATACTCGGAATTATAACATCGACGCATATTAACTGCGGATAGTAGAAAGAGTGCCAGATCAACTGCCAGAATGACCGTGAGAACAATCTGAAAATCAATTGGGATTAGCATAGATCAGAACAGAGCCGAGGTACCCCGTCAGACTACGTTGGCCACTGTGAATCCTACAACAGACAATCGTATGTATCTTCATGTTGCGGCCATCAATTACTTACCAAGCGCTACCCTCGGTCTCTCCACCAAGTCAACCACCTGCAAAAGGCCGCGTGCAGTGCGTGTTCTAATACATCATCATGATATTCATACAGTCTCTGTTCAGATACACTGAGAACAGTTTCTCAGTCAGTCACAGTGTACGCACAGTTGTGTACGCTCTTTTCTGGAAACAGTTAATCCACAGAGAAAACAGATTGAGTTAGATACAACTGTATAAGAACCTAGCTGGATCGTAAACAATATATTGAGCACTGCTAAAAACAAGAATACCGGGTGAAGGGAGCCGGTGGTCGGGAATAAATTGGAAATAAATTGGGATAGTACAGAATAATTTGTTTTTGTCAGACTGTGTATCAGATATATTTTGGATTGGCGGATGAAAGAAAGAAAGGAAGGTTTTCAGAGGTGCAAACTGAATTTGATTCGTAAGTGCGAACTGAAAAAATGATCGTTGCTTTGCGTGACTCTCAAAAATGAATTATTCAAGAGAGACAAATAATCGCACGTTGTTCAGGAGTACAGCCGGTCATCGACGTCCTCGTCGTACCTGCAAGAGCGAGCTCGGCACAAGCAACCAATATTTTTTCAGTTCCGCCAATTTGTTACTGTTAGAAAACGACGTACTTAAGTTTAATCGTATCATTTGGCGTGGAAGTCTCCTTTGGCACGGTTTCCTCTTCCTCTTCCTTGCCGTCGGCAAGGAATAAGTTTGAAGACACCGATTTTATGGGAATCCTTAGAAGACTTCCACGCCGCGAATCAGTCCAGGTAACACGGAGTCAGCAGATCGCCGGTTTAAGCAATGTCATTGCTGAATAGTTTCACTTCTTCGCGATAACTTAAACTTATTTTGAAAATCATCGTGATTTTTCATGACGGTAATATATTGTCTCTTTTTATGACGAAATTCCGTTTGCATTACGGCTACGACACAGTAGCCGTAACGATCTGGCTTCCGGAAGTTCGTACAGTTTGGTGAACGGGAACCGGTAGTATCAGCATTCTAAGTGCTACCCGGAACTGCATACCTCTTTCCCTCTTTTTCTCTTTCTCATGTGGCATGGCGAGCTCTCCTCGCAAGCAAACATTAAAAGAGATTGTCATATATGGAGGAAAGACTAACGGGATAATTCGGGAATTGGCCAGCTCTTCCACAACGTTTTTATAAAAACTAAGCAAGAGGACTATATGAAGCAAATTTCGCCGAAAGTTATGTAAAGCTGACTTGAATGAATTGGAAAGGGATATCGGGATTGTGGCCTCGCAAAGCCTCCACACAGCTGGCTGAAACATATTGTCTTCATCAATCGATTCGATCAATATATGTCTTTCATCGTCACTCATTGTCTATTTTACGATGTCAAAATGTTTTGAAATCAACTACTTGCACTATCAATCGCGCGACAGACCAGCTCCATTTCGCGTAAATATAGAAAGGTCCGCGTGGTAAGAAACAAAAGGATAGAAGGAAGAAGGGAAGGAAGTTCGGAAGAACAGACGAAACGCCTGCGGGACGTGACCGATGAAAGGATAGAGGCTACGAGGTCAGAAAATACGATCACAACGTTGACCGAGGCCCTGTGAGGCAGGCGAAATGGATTCTCTCAAGGTCGGGCTCGGGTTCGAAGATCGACGACTCACGTTGATGCCATGGCGAAGGCGGTGAGGGTACCCTGGGCCAGGCCGGCGTAGAATTTAAAGGGGTTCTTTCTAACGAAGGCCGCATATATCAGCTGCATGATCACCAGCTGATAGAAAAAGACACCGATCGCGATCGTGACGATGAACCACGCCAGTTGCGACATCACCAGTACCAGGTCGTCCACACCGAGTATTTTGCCCGCTATTACGGAGGTGATGCCGATTGGTGTCATCCTGCGAGCGAGATATTATCGATTTTGTTGTGCTGTACGGTGATGTAAAATCACCGATAAGAGCCGATTTTCGATTTTTATGGGACATTTACCACATAACAGTTGAGACCATTCGCATGATGACCTCGAACACAGCCTTGAAGAAATCTATGACGACTTGACCTTTCTCACCAAGTGTTCCCAGAAACGTACCGAAAACTAGGCAGAAAAAAACTATGCCCAGAGTGTTCGTACCACTCCTGTACTGTATTACTCTCATCAATTCCTCGTCTCCCAGAACTTCCGTTGGTAGTTGATCGGTAACGTTTTGAAACGGTTGCTTTTTCGGGACGTAAACCGTATGCGCCTGGAATGACATAGTCATTGAATATCGATCCAACCAATCATTTTGATACGGCAGATTATAAAAATTGGAGCATGTTCTTACTTGTTGGAAAGCCGCTTGAAACAAATTGTCCGGAAACATGTTCCTGCGAAAACATTAATTCCAGATCGTATATACTTCAAATATTGTTGACAATAGACAAGCGCAGTGTCTTCGCGCATTGCATGAGAAAGGGCTGTACATATTAAAAATAACATCTTTCCCACGACCTTCGTTTTATTCATAGTCCTTACACATTGATTAAGTCGCGCCGTGAGCTACAGCGACTTTTCAATAAAAATGATTTTGCACTGCGACTACCGAAGCGAACAATTATCAAATGGTTTCCAATAACCAATAGGCCGCAATATCTCGTCTTTAATGCAACCTGGAAAGATCGCGCTGAACATCGCGCGATTTTTAAGCGGAGTTTTTGAGCGCGCTTCGCGTGAATAAAATACGCACGATCGAAAAACTATTTTCGTCACGGCGAATGAATATATCTGCAATGAATTCCGTTTAGTGGAGTTTGCAACTCGTGAAATGCCATGACCTTAATCCGACTTAGGTAACTGTTTTACTGCAATGATTCAGCAACAGTGGCAACGAGATCGATATTATTTCAATGTCGCGTTCGTCATTGTGTATACATTTCTCAAAAGTTTTCGAGCAAGTTTTCAAGAACCGCGGTGCAGAAATGCCCGACCTATTTTCGTATCGGAAATTTGAAAAATTGCAAAAATATGATCGATAATACCAGCGGCCTGGAGAGACGCCTCGACGCAATCGAAAGGCCAACCGATCGGAATCGATTAATATTACTTTCCTGTCGTTCTGTACATACATTGACCTTCGCACTTGATTACCTTCGTTTTTCAATAGGAAAACTCTCAAGTGAGTCTATGTACATTATTGATACTGACAGAATCGATATCGGGCGATGAGAGATATCGCGGACATAATTTACCTTCCCAGGTCGAGCAAGCTGTCTAGTATGTTAACGGCTCTCGCGTGATGCGAGGTCCCAATCGATTCCCTGATGCCGGGATTACCGGGATGAATAACGAGGACCAGGGCCACGCCAAGCACTGCGTTGAGCAAGGACGTCAGTATGAAATACACCAAGGTACGAACGGCGATCATTCCGTTCATCCTGGCGTTTAAGCTCGCTGAACCTGGAAAAGAAAAGAAAAAAAAAAAAAAATAAGACAATAAAGATTATCGATGCACGCGACAGCTTAGGGAAGCTCACCTGATATGAGGCTGGCGATCACCAGAGGTAAAATCATTAGCTTTAGCAATCTCATGAAGAGCTCTCCTGGATAGCTTATCAACATCACCGCGTCATCCCCAAGATCCAGAGGTCGCAAGCCAAATCCTGTGAGGAGATAATCAGATTAATCCGCGATTCTGCGCCACCGAGGGAACTTAACTTTTTCTTCATTTGTTCGTGTAACGCGCTTAAGAAGTTCTGCAGAATGGCTTGCCCTTGAACTATATTTAAATTTATTACAGTCAAATTGGCTTATTATTCGATCGAGAGAAGAAAAAGGGCGTCGTGGTTGACGAAAAGGTGAAGGTTTGAGTAATTTCTTTTCTAATGATTAATAGCATAAGCTATCCATATTCTTGTGTCTAAAGACATGGATATAAAGCACGCATATCATCCTAAACAAATAATTAATTGCGACTATATGGCAGATATTTAGTTAAAAAAAAAAAATAAAAGGAACAAAAAAATTAATGATATAGAGACATAATCTTGAATTCTTATCTTCGAGGAAAGGATATGAATGAAATGAATTTTGATTTAGACTGATCTATTGAGCGATATCACATAAATTATTACAATGCCGTCAACGTCAACGTTTCTACTTATAGCAAAGTTTATGGACGTTATATACATTTGGCTTAATACGTTCCAAATTAGCCATTGGAAACAAATTTTACGTAGCAACGCCCACCCACACATTGATCGTTCCATCGTACCAATGCTTTTATCAATTGTTAAATTTATTCCTATGTCTTTTAGTTACATTAATTGTGCTAGACAATTTAACAATTTAATTGAAACACGTTTTTCATGTTACATTTCAATTACAATGAAATGAATTTTATTTCTCTGACGCTGTACAGCGTAAACTAATAAAATCAATTCTCACTTAATTAAATGCTATCCTATATTTATATAACATTCGCCGGTATATCAAATAATATATTTATGATACAATATTTATATATAAAATCATATTATCGTGAAAATATGATTTCTCTATTAAGTTGGCTTCAAGTTAATACGAATTTTTTTAAGAAAATTTTAAACGTTGATAAAGTCAACATCTTTTTCGACAAGATATAATGTTGTTCATTTTTACGTAATAATTTTGAACTTTGTGGTATTACATGTAAAATCGATTTATGCCAAAGAGCTCGCTCATATTGCGAGCATAAAACGTATCATATTATCCCGCAGGTAGGATTTCTATGAACGTATGACGTATAAACATTCATTATAAGCATTCATTATGATCACGTGTGTTTTATAACGGAGCAAAAACAAACCTTATAAATGTTTGTAGAAGCAATTGGTTTTTCTGTCTACTGATATTTGTATGACTATATCGTACTTATGTAAAATTTTTATTTGAACGAGTGGAATAGCGATATCAAAAAAGAACAATCAATTATTGATGTGACAAGAGAAATATTGCCGACTGAAGAATTATGCCGAGTTAGATTAAAATCTAAGCATGGAATTAATCTACATAGTGAGTCGCTATATAAAGATCATACGTATGACAACTATCGCAAATGACGGTCATAATTTATAGCTGTCACGTAAAAAGATGAGAACGAGTGAAACGCAACAACGATTTGTACGATACAAACATTCTGTATAGCATAAATCATCATTTTCTATTTAATGTCTGTTTGTTTATTACATATGTCTGAACATCAGCAATGCCTGCAAACAAAAATTGTTCGTACAAAATAATTCAAAATTACTAATCTAATTCAAAGTTCTTTTTCTTCTCGCGTAATATACCACGAAGTAATGCGCTTCCTCAAAAACAATTCTAAAGAGAAGGCTTTTTGCGGCTTTCCCGAATGTTCTAATGTTTTCAAACGTTGCGGTACTCGGTAAGAAACGAGTAAGTGTCTCTATCGCTCACCGAGAATTATGCCAAAAAGTACGCCGGATAGGGTGACCAGGAGCAGCAGGTTCTCTCGCATCCACTTTCTGGTGTCGGCGGTCACCTTGCGGGGACCCTGAGAGGCCGAGACGTCCTGCCCGCCCATCTTGGCGAACAGATATTCGGAGAATCGGGCAGAGGACTTTTTCTTCCATCTCACTGGGCCGCCAGCAAGCGGCGTACCAGGGATCGGTGCTGATCGCGTACGAACAGGCCGATCCTCCTGCCGATCCCCCCAAGCTCCCTTCTCGCGATCTCTCGCGGCTAACGGCGGGGCCCCGGCAGCACCACGACGACGACGGGTTGCCGTTTTGGGGGTGTTTCGGTAAATCCGTGCGGAAGGACCAATCACTCGCGCCTACCAGACGTCGTAGTAGCCTGGCGGCCTGGCGAATGCCTACTAATTCGATCGTGGTACCGGGATGGGATCGGACTGTCTTCCTAGTGATGTGCTGATAATAACAACTGGTGGCTTTGATCGGGCTCGCGAGACCGTCTAATCTCCGCCCGGCCTCGGCTCGTCTGACGTCTCTCCGTATATGCGTAGTACCCTCTAACGTTGAGTGGTTAAACAACCCCGAAACGATTACGGGCTCCGAGATATACGTGTTTCTCTAAATCATAAACGAGAAGTGGTCGCAAGGAGCTTCGATCTGAAGGATCTTCGCTACGAAATCGCTCGAGTAGCTCTATTGCTCGAGAGCCAAACGTTCGTGCTGTTGCACAAGGTCAGTTACCCGAGAGGGGCTGCTGATAATCGTTTCTTCGGCTATGACGTATTATCCCCCGCCTCCTTCCTGACAAGAGCACTTCACTTTGTGAAGCTGACTTCGAAGCCGTCAGAAGGTGCCAGGAGGAAACTAGGATCGATGCTCCGCACGGCGACGATGACAAAGACGAAGACGACGAAGATTCAATGGACTGTTCTAATCAGTATTGCCGACGTAACTGAGCTTGCGCATGGACTTCCGACACGTTTCTCGCGAAGGATGAGCCCCGACTGCCTGGTTACCGGCGGACATTGCCGTATTGATTTGCTAGGATTTCGCCGTATTCCCCGAGCGTCCCTCGTTCTCTCGCCCGGCGAGGACGGCGTAACGCCTGCGCGAACTCCGGTGGTTAAGTCGGTCGCTAAAATGTGGATACGCACTACCCCCGATGCTGTTGCTGCGCGATGGTGCATCGTCGAGAGAAGAGCGAGACGCTTGCGGGATAGAGGAGGATCGGGAGATGACGGACGAGGGAACGGGGTGGCAGGATACAATCCTTGATACGCAAAAGTAGCGGAAACAGAAAAAGGAAGGACGCGACAGCGAAGGGCAGCGAAAACTTCGTCGGAGTTGCGAAATGTATTATCTACTCTTGGAGTCTTATAAGACGCCACTCTCACGTTTTACGACGTAATTCGTTCTGCGTCGCGGATTCAGTACTTAGATCGCATGTTAAAGCATTTAGATGCAGTTCTATTTGCTGGTTGGATACAAATTATTTTATTTAAAAAATTCTTAATTCTTTTTTTTTGAAGATTGCTAAATAAATTTTTGCACAAGGGCGTTATAATGTACGTCAGCAGTGGCCCTGTGTGGGACGACGCTTATCGCGAATACACATGTAGCTACATCAATACGCTTATTTTAAGAACGGGTTAATCTGTTTTATTTTAAACGCTTAGCATCGAGATAAATCGAATAGAACATTATTGCGCATCAAGCTAAGTCTACAATACATGATATATCAAAATAATGATAAAATACGAAATTAGATAATACTGTTTATGCATATTTTTATTTATTTTCTTATTTACCTGCAAAATCTCTTTAAAAATACTCATAATATCAACTACTTGATAGATTATTGTTAGAATTAGAACTACTGTGAGTGATAAGAACTACTGTGAGTGATAAGAAAAAAATGGGAAAATAACATTTTACATAGAAAGATATTCTGAAGTTTTGAATAGAAAAAGCTTTTATAACTGAAGTATATCATTTAAACAATAAAAATGTTTAAAAAAACATGTATCACGTTTTTGCTTTAACGGAGAATGGCGAGTTGAATAACTGTCTGACCGAATGTGGATAATTACTACTTTCGCCTGACCATGACGGTAGTTACTACTGGAGCGAATCGATCGAAAGAGCAGATACAACTTCTGGAAACAATGAAAGATGGAGGCACAATATCTAAACAATAATCTATTTGTTTTCCAAAAAAATTTCTAACTGTATGCGTAATAAACGCTACTGTATAATAAATAAATTAGAAACGAGAAGAGATACAATGCGATAAATGTGATACCGAGTTAATACGGCCGTCAAATGAAGAGATAGGGGAAGTTCAATGAGCGATTCGCTAAATCTGGAAAATTCAATATAACGGAAATATCAATTTTATTTTACCTTCAATAGCGTATCGCTTTTGTATAATAATCACGTTATGCCGCTGTCGACTGCACTCACCTCGTGGAAAATTGGGAAAGCGGCAGGAGATCCCGATTCATTGGCCGTACAAGCGTAACAAAAGGTGTGTAACATCATGCAGGACATATTCGCGATATTATTAACAGAGCGCAACAGTTATTTATTTGTTTATTAAAGCAAATAAAAATTCTGCGATTATTCTGCCATTAATGTTATAACAATCCAAATGGACAATTTTGCAAAAACAATGCTCCTCGTTAAACTCGTTAAACTCATTGTCTAAGTAATTAATGTGACTGTACAATAGATATCGTGCGATTACAAAAATAAATATCCTAACAGACATTAATAACAATTAAACTTTGTCAATTAACGAAATTCTCTTAACGAAACACGATCTCGGGCAGTCGTGGATCTTTTTTTAATCCCTTTGGACTTTTTTCATCGCATCTGACGATAAAAGATGATTCTCGTTACGTCATATCGTGAAGAATCTTCTCCGTAATGTGTGAATTAAGCGATCCGTCAACGAAGAGCACCGGTATTTTGGGACAGGCCGTACCGTTGAATAATGGAAGGTTTCTCGCAATCTCTCCGAGTCTGCGAGAACGTTACGAGAGTCAGGTCTCATCCGCCTCGTAAATAATCCAGAAACACGACGATGCGACACGGGGCACCAAGCATGTAACGGGCAAACGCCTATTTACCGAGTTTCCCCGATGTACACAGCACGGGGTGTTGTTCGCATCGTTCTTCCGTAAACCCTAAAACTTGTTGTCCGGGTACGCCTCGGTGCCCGCACGTACTCCGATATCCGAACAAGGGGATGGCATTCGCCCACGCTAAGGAAAAACAGCCCTTATCCGCGCGTAACTCAAACTTAATCCGAAAATCTCGTCGTCTGACGTGATAACAAACAGGTTTTTGGTTCGACAATATCGCGGAATAATTCGCGCGTATTAAACTCGTGTCGCCGAAGGAAGTCGGAAACGAAATTAATTTAAGAGTTTTCTCTTTTTGCAGAATTTCTATTTATTTTTTTTATTTAGATTTCTATTTAAATATAATTTTATATAAATGTATTCATGTTTTTTTTTTTTACAAAATTGAAAGAAGAGGGTCGAAATTCTTCAAAAGGCAAGGTATTGCGAACTGAGTAGATGAAATCCCCCTCTTGATCTTTCTTTCTCCCTCTTTCTTGCTCTCATAAAAGAGAAATATCGTTTATATCCATCTGGCTACGTATCCTGGTGTCTACGTTTCGCATGCGGGGCAAAAATCTCATTACGAAGAAGATACCAAACGAACGCCGAAGAGATTCGATTGGATATCGGCTCAAGGTTTCGGAGAAAGCAGCGAAACGTCGGAGAAAAAGAATAAAGATGGAAAAGAGAATTCCAATGATCGGATTGCTGGCACGTAGGAAAATACAAATCTGGCTATTTGGAATCGGCTTTATTCGCGTGCGCGTATTTGCTGATTAAACGTTCTTAAAGCTTATAAATCTTATAAGGCACTCTCTCATCAAACATAAAACAGTATTCGAGCGAAGAAAATGGGAGTCTCATGAAATATTTGATGCGTTCGATCTCCCCGCGGCACAATGTCGACCGCATAACATCGACCGTATTTCATTCTCTTTTGAAGGGTTGATAAAATTTTGAGGATCTTCATAGGAAAGAGAAGAAGGATTTTGTAATTATGTATCGTTAAAAATACACAAATGGAAATATTACGGACAATGTACAATGCGTATATGAATAAGATAAATAATTCTCTTTCCTTTTACAAAGCGATGCGCAATTTCAATTATTCCGAATAAAATATATAACGGAAATCCAATCGCAGCAACACGACAGTTAATTTATTGATTGGACATTTAGTGTGCGTGCTGTACACGAAGTGACCATTAGCACACTGATCAGCCGGTGGTAATTAACGTTCACGTGCAAATGCGGAAGGTGATCGAGCGCCACGTAAATACACAGATTTGAGTTTACTTCCTGCGCGAAATCAGACCTGTTGACGCTAATAATATGTGCAATTCCGAGGATATTCGACGTTCAAGCGATAATAATTCGTTCCGACAGGCTCGTTGTGCGCCGTATCTCTACGATGCAAACAGAATCCGTCCTCATGTCCGTACACATCGTCGATGAGATGCAATGTGCAACGAGTGCTTGAAATATCTCTCGATTTAGGCACGATGTTACATCGGCGACGAAACCGTGTAAACAAGGGGATATTGGGCATTTAATATTCGCTAATACGAACCTTTTGGCCCGAATACGTCATCTTGATCGCCGGAGAGAGTGAAACGATGTTGATATCGCATACACACATATATAATATATATTTCATTAAGCCTTTTTATGTTTTAATGGATCTCTTTTTGGCACGCTAAGGCTTCGCGCCAACGACATATCATCGTTCCACCCACTCAACGCTAAATTAGATCACTTCTCCTTAAGAGGCAGCGATGTATTTAATTGGCGGTTTTGTACGTCCGTTATCTGTTCTACAACGGCTGCGAGCGTTTATATAAATTGCAAATACAGGAATATTCGACCGAAACGACAAAATTTGCTGAGCAGACTTAACAATTGTGAGTCGCATGACTCACCATGACTGACCAGGTCGCTTCAAGCTTCGATACTATCTTGGCCAAGACAAGAGTTGTTATACCGGCACGTAGAGCCACGTCAGCCAAAGAGTCGAGTGTTCGTTCTTTCAAGGCTCCTTTTCTTCTCCTTTACGTTCTCCAGTAGAGTAGCCTCCAGTTTCAGCCTCTCCCGACATTTTCATCTTCATCTACGTACTCTCGTCTAGATTCTTCAAGTTTTGAAGTCAGTGGGTCAGACGGTCGCATTCAAGAAATTCCAATATGTCGATCTCCGGGACGGGCACGCTCAAAGGACAATTCCTCGCGATTTTCGTCCTCCCGACTTTATATCACACGTCGATTTTCCACGTTGAATCCGTAGAGTATCTCGCTAGAGTGTCTCTCGTTTGTATTTAATCACAGTTTCGTATGCAACTTTAGGAAACACACCGCGTCTGTACCTCGTCAGCGCTATTGAGAAGTCACATGGCACTACAGTGCTAAACCGTTTCGAGAACTATTGCGGTGTTTCTATTTGAAACGCAAAACGTTTCGCAGCGGAAATGTGAGAGAATACGATGAACTAATCTCATTAATGAATAGGTTAGTTAGAAATGGTCACTCGTTAATTGTTGTTTTAATTAGTTTTTTATGGTACATCGAAATAAAAATAGTGTATCGTAAAATTAGTTACGTAATAACAAAGAAAACATCTTTTAGTAAGAGTTTTATTCAGAGATTTTTGAAATATTTTTTCTAAACTAAAAAACTAGCGGTTATTGTGTTTTGGTTTTTAATATTATAATTGACTGGTAAGATTTATTTGATAAAATTTATTTTAATTGTTTTATCATTATCAGAAAATAATGTTTTCTCAAATAAATATTCTTGATAATATCAGAAAGATCCCCAAAGAAACATAAGCATTAAGTTTATCAAATAAAGGAATTTTATAAGATAGGAACAAAAATTTAATTAAAATATGAGAAAACGAGAACCATCTCGTCAAACATTTTGTTAAATACAAATGTTTCTGTTGCAAATGTCGAAACTTTACGTACGATAGTATTACGCGACTTAATTATGATAATAGAAAACAGATTAAATTTCAGCTAATTTTCGACGAATGGAATGTAGAGAAGAAAATTCACTCTAAGATATTTCAACACGAATATCTTGCAGCTCGACGTCTTTCTTGCGCTCGTTGGCCATGAATAAATACGAACTTCGTACAGATGGTCGTGGTTATCAGCACCCGTTGTGTCGCACCCGGAAGAGTATTGTTGCGGTAACAATACCATTTCAATATTTCGCGTTCGAATGTCGCCTCGCGCATTATAGTATGCACGATCGACAAATACAAAATACCGTCGTCGCGATTCCTGATGCATTTATTCACTTGCGAAGATATAATATGAATTATTAATGCGAAAAAACGTTGCAACGTAACCTTTTCTCGAAGATTGGAAAACTATTATTCCTAGATCTGTGTCGTAAAGAAAGATTTCAAATAACGACAGATAAAATATACTTATTTTTAACGCGTGCTGTAAAGAAATTGCTAATAAATTTGAATTTTTTTTAATATAAATCTGTTTAAAACTGTTTATGGTCAGAAGTGAAATATTTGAAATGACCTTTTTTGTTAAAAACACATTTCTATTCTATTTTCAAAATTTCTAAACATCACACTTGGTTCGTTTATACGTGTCAGAAATTTTCAAAAATAAATGCTGCAGATATAAAAATCGCGTTACACGACAATGCAATATACACATGACGGTGCTGCTGACACAGGCAAAAGCACGAAAGCTACCGCACGGATTGCGGAGTTGCTTCCAACGATTCATCCGCCCGTATGTCTGTTCCTTCGCTGACTCTCTCTCGCCTCGTTGTTCGTCACTTACAGTAAATGGAAGTCAAGCAGGTCCATTTCCCCTCCGTGCTTTCAAGCATTTTCATCACTTCGTCACTCGAACCGCGCGACGGTGTCATTTTCATCGCACGCTCCGTGAATCTTTTCGCGACGCTATACGATCTTGTATCCGGGACTCTGACAGTTCGTTTCGAAGTTTCAGTTAATTAATGATACAAAGAAAGGAGGAAGGCAGCGGCGGAGAAAGAGAAAAGGAGAGGAACCGAAGCGGGGAAAAGGACGGCGGCGTGAGTCGTATCAGGGGAAATTGTACTCCGCTCGGAAGACACCGTCTCCTAAAATGAGCTAAGCGAGGGTTTGAGAGTGTAAAAGGGTGTATACAACCCAGAGGGAGAGGAGACCGCGTGAAATCACGGAGCCTACACTGTCAGACGCGGGATCGAACGAATTATTTGTAGTCAGGGTTGTACGCTCGCTCCGTTAAATTTCCTGGCGTGGAACGTCCCATAAAATTGGGATAGTCAAAGTACAGTCTTTCGCATTAAAAGCTACAACTAGAACAAACGTACGATATTGTGTCATGCTTTTGTACAAAATCTTACGTATTTCTGTTAAATATGGAATATCGATTATAATATACTACTTGGA